ACAAAGGGAAGGGCATTCTCATCTCCTCACCCTCAGAAGAGGCTGTCAAACCTCTAGGAGAGGAAGAAATTGAAGCCTTTGAGGAATGGCTATTCACAAAGATGGCAACAGATTCTGTGCAACCCCATCTCAACCCAGGAGAGCCCTCTGTACCCAAGACAGAAGGGAAAGCAATGATGGAGCATATCCAGGAGTGGAGGACTTCTTTGCTCAAGGAGAACATCATTGAGGTAATCTCTCCAACCCCCTCTGTTAATATCCCAACAGAACCCCACATTCCCTCACCTCCTTCCAGCACCAGAACCCCTCCACCAGAACACCCTGAACCTTTATCTCCTAAACAGAAAACCCCCACCCCTCCTCATTCACCCAAACAGAAAATTGCATCTCCCTGCAGAGCAATTGTTCCTTTCAGAAACCGTTCACCCTCACCTCCACCATCCCCCCCTCAACAGAATGCCTCACCTGTTCACTCCTCACCCCAGCACCAGATCCCCTCACCCCAACAGATATCCTCCTCATCCTCTGAATCTGAACATCAATCTCCTCCTCCAGAATCTCCTCCTCCACACCAACCTGCAGAACAACTTAAACCTGTATGGTTTCTCAGGGATTCTGACCCTACAACTGTCTCCCCCATCTCTGCACCCCAAGGGAATTCCAGGCATTCTACTGCCCCCAATCCCTCCTTCAGAAAGAAAAAGAAGGTCATCAGGAACACCATACCCATATACTCCTCTTATGAAGATTCATCTGACATGGATGGATTCATGGTCAGCAAGTCTTATCAAGCTACATCCAAGAGACAGAAGACCCCTCCTCTGACTCAACTGGAACATGAACAGGCTGTCCAATCTCTTTCATCTGTCCAAGAACATCACCCCTTGCCTAAGGGAAGAGGTCTAGAGATGCCTCAAGCTGATGGACAACAGAACAACGTTCCCTTCAACAAATTTGTTGAATCTGCTGAAGAGTTTGGAGGACAGATCCTCCAAGGCATGAACAAACTGATTGAGATCAATGACAAACATTATGGGCACCTTGCTCATGTGAATGACAATCTAAACTCAGGTATGCAGTTCATCTCTGATCGTTTTGAGAACCTCACTGGAACTCTCAACAACTTCATAGCCTCATCAACTGCCAGAACAGATGCCCTGTCAACAGAAGTGGTAGGCATCCACAACACTCTTTCTATCTTCCAGCAGACTCTCCTGAGTCAAGGCCATGCTATTCACAATATCTCAGAGCATCTTGAAGCTCTGAAGGAAGCTGATGCCAGGACAGAGAGGCGCTTGACCTCTACTGAGGCAATGTGCAGAACTCATCAAGAACAGGCTCATGCACTTCTGTCTACTGACAGAGACCGTTATCAGAAGATGGTGCTCCTTGAAGCCAATAACAAGGACATCTTCTCTGCCATACAGAAGCAACAAGGTCTCATTGAAGGCCTTACCTCTGTCACCCAGACTCTACCAGAGGCCCTGGAGCAGATAGCCTCAACCCAGGCCTCAGAATTCCAGAAGACCAGTCTAATGATTGAAGATCTGAATGATGCCAAAAAGGGGGAAGAGGACCCTCAACAGACCAGGCCCAGGTCCCACAGAACTCCTACCAGGCCACCCTCCTCTGATGAGCCTGCAGTAGATCCGGCTCCCTACTTTGAAGCTGCCCTACAAAAGAAAAGAGCAGCAGGCATACCTAGACCCCCATCTCCAGTAAAGAAGAGCACCAAGAAGAAGAAAGTTTTCAACTTCACTGAGTGGAGATTGGGTGGCTCTCAGAACATTGACAGAGCTCAATTTGAAGAGATGAAGGCTAAAATGACTCCTACCCAACAACAGCACCTCTATTTGGACAAAGATGGTGTTGTCAGAGTTAGGTATGGGGGTTCACTAGAAGAAGCAGAAGAATGGTACAAGAAGAACATTGTCCCAGGAAAGACCATACATGAAGGTGTCCTCAACTATTTGGACTGTAAGCTTTCTCCAATATGGGCATCTTATCAAAGGTCTGACAATCTGTTCAAAATCAGAGCTGAAATAAACGAAGAACTGCTCAGGCTTCAAAGACTAGAGGAAGAAGCTCTACAGGCAGCTAATCTGGAGAATGTGTAAGGCTTAAACTCTGTAATATCTATCTAATAAAATCACATCTCTGCCTTCTTACTTTGAAGTGCTTTTCCTCAAATTCTTGTCTTTTTGCCTTCTGCTTGTGTTTGTTTATTTCTGTTATATTCGGCTATCTGAATGTATCGTACTCTTACTATTTTCCTATGCCAAGTTGCCCACCAAGATTTTAATGGAAGTTTTTAAACTTAATCTTTTTATGGTGAAGGCACTTCTCTGGAAATAGTTAAAGGGTTTTGGCATCATCAAAAATGAGGAAATTGTAAGGAATAATTGTAATTAGATTTTGATGATGCTATATTAATTAGGACTTTAGAGTACCCCTCTAGAAATTATGTATTAGAATTTTCCTTTGTAAAGTTCTTAGAATAATCGACTTGACAGAAGACCTTCAAGAGCAGAAGGACTTCAAGAGCAGAAGTGCTTCTTAAGGCATTATTAAAACAGAGGACCTTTGGTTCTCTGCTCCAGAACAGAAGTCCTCAGGATCTCTGTTAGTCTTGACTCTGACAGAAACCCTTCTGGGTCTCTGTTGGATACTCCCAACAGAAGTGCTCCAGACCTCCTCTGTTCTACTCTCAGACAAAGACGCCAGAAGGTCTGACACTTAGAAGAATTTCAAAGAACCGGGAAGTCAACTAAAAGATTCCTTCAACGGCTAGGAGTATGAAACGGAAAAGCTACAGTGCATGCATTAAATGCTCATTTAATGCACCCCATGCTACGTAGAGTAATTGCAGATGATTGGCCGTAATGTCAGGAATACTTTATCCCAAAATAGTAACCCGCCAACCTTACCGGGCTCTACTAGTCAAGTCAACTGATCGCTCATTTAATGCAGTTGTCCTCCTACTCCTCCAACGGGAAGACAACCTCAGTATAAAAGATACACTACGAAGAACAACCGGATAACTTTGCTATAACTTTGCCAAGATTACATTGCAACTTTTGCTAACCACAAGCAAGATATTCAAACTCTGAAAAGCAAAAAGCCTCCTTGAGATTCAAACTCATTATCTTCTACAAGAGAAGGCAGAAGTTGGAAAAATACTCTTTCCAACTCAAGCAAAGTTCCAAGTGTTCTTCAACTCTTCAAGCTCATCACATACAAATCTTTTGTAATGAAGCTAGTTGGGGGAACCCCTGTTTCAACAGAAACTCTTCTTGCTACAAGAAGGACGTCCAAATAACTGGAGTAGTGAAGTGGTGATACTTCAAGGAAACTCAGTGAAAGGACCAGTGTTAAAGGAAGCCAGGCAGTGCATCCCAGGACACATCTAGGCTTGAAGAAGACGTGGAGTGCTTCTTAAGTACTAGGACTAAGGCTTTGTAAACGACAGTTTTTACAGCTTAGTGGAACAGTGGATTAGAGGAACGAGTTGTTCCTTGAACCACTATAAAAATCCCTGGTGTCGTTTACTTACTGCTTTAAATACTTGCACTTAGATAGAATTGTCTAACTCCTTGGACCTGGTATCTGTGTTCAGCAGAACTTGTTCTACGAGTTAACAGAAGGCCTACTGCCTTTGCTTCTCTGAGGCTAACAGAACTCCCTACCAGAACCCCATACGCTGCCAGTCTGTTCTTTCAACAGAACAGGCTATTCTGTAAATCTGGTACTTAGCTTAAAAAGCTAAAATCAATACAGTCTATTCACCCCCCCCCTCTAGACTGTATCCAGTATAACCGGGACCAACAATATGCTTGATTGTCATCCCGTATTCGCCTGAAACCCACATGCTACATTTTTTCTCGCACCATTTGCAAATTACGTACCACATCCCGGTCTTCGGGTCCTTCTGCTTATCAAAATTATACCGTATAATGGCATCTTGATTTTCCATCTTAACTTCTTAAGTATAAACTATAAAGTAGATATATAAATAATAAATATAATATATTGGAGAATAAGAGAATTAGAGAGTAGAGAGCTAAGAATAGGATTTAGGAAGAATTGGAGAAGAGATATGAAAAAATGTTTAAGATTAGGAGTATTTATAGGTTTTTTTACCCCCCCCCCCCCCACCCAACCCCCCGGACCCCCCCTGCACCCCACCCAACGGCTATATAGCCGTTTGGGTTGTCTCCACCCACCCCCAACGGCTAGTAGCCCAATTTAAAAAAAAAATTAAAATCGGACCAGACCCGGGCCCGAACCGGCCGGGCCGGGTCACTTTTATCCGGAACCGTGCCCGCCCCGCCCATTCCCACCAGTTCGGGTCCACACCCGATCCTGGACCGCCCGACCGGGCCGATCCCGGACCGCCCGACCGGGCCGGTCCCGCACAGTACCGGGCCGGGCCGGGTCACGGGCCGGGTGACCCGAACCGAATCCACCCCTACTTAAACTACGATGATTCAATGTTTATTTTAATTGATTGGGATAATAAGAGAAATAATAATGACATTACAGTAATTACTAAATACTACTACCTCCATCCCGTTGGAAAGTTCTCATAGCAAAACAGCACGATTATTTAGGCAATAATTAAATAAAGTACTTCGAGTATATTTTGAGAAATAATTTTAATAGGTATATATTACAATGTAGTTAGTATTGATAACTGTGATGTTATAAATGTATTGTTTTTAATATTTAATGATTAATTTGTCACTTAAGATTGTTAATTGTTTCCTAAAATGAAAATGAGAACCTTTATATGAGACGTCTAAAAAAAGAAAACGAAAACCTTATAATGGGATGGAGAGACTAATTAGTAAGTTTGTGGTTGAAATCAATGACACTCCTAGCCATTGATTCTCGGAATCTCGGTCCTAAGTCCTAACTGAAGAGGGACAACCCGGTTATAAACAACATACAAGATCGAAAACAATCAAGTACAGTCCAGTTTCGTGATATACCAAAATGAAATCAAACCAACCGGTTTTTGTTCAATTCACCTATACATTTACTTATTTTTAAATAAAAAACTGATCTGCTACTAAAAAGTCCTTGGTTGATACTGATATGTACAATTGTCATTCTCGGAGACCATCTTTAGATAAAAAGGCCACTCCATCCTAGTATCCTACGACTATGACCTTTTAGATACTCCATATTATGATTATTGTTCTTTCGTTTATGAAAATTAAATTTGTAGAGCATATAGAGTGTAAATTTATTCAACAAATCTAGCCACTTGACTTTTAAAAGATCTCAAACCATTCTGTCATGTGCCTGGGAGCCCATATTTAGCACCTCACATACATTCAGCTCTCTCAACTACTAGTCTGTATCCAAACAAAAAGAACAAAAGTGTGCAGTATAAGTTGTACATAAATACCATCATCATAATAAGTAATCACTGTACAGTTTGATAGAGGCCTTAAGAGCCCAAACATATACACTGAACAAAACTGTGTGAATGACATAATGATATGCGAATCTACCGTGCACCAAAATGTTAACTGTAGTTATCTATCTGGTAAGCCCAGCCATGTTTATCCAAAAATGCCTGCACTGCTTCTTTAATGGCCAAATTTGGAGCCAACTGAGATGCAGATAGGGATCTTGAAGTCATCGGATCAAATCCCCCCACCTAAACTTGTTCCAAAAACATATGATTAATATATCATATACAGAACGTAACAGAATATGTAAGATATTTGAACCCAATATGTCAGGAATGACTACCTTCTCCAAATGTTCAAGGATCTTCGCCCGCTCGTATGTGATCCCGCAGGGAGTAATCACAGGGTCACGTAAAATGTCAAGTGTTATCTTACAACATAAGTAATCAGGCACCTGGAAATGTTGTGTATCCCACATCAGTTGATTGTCTTATAAGGTGTGGTGGGAATAGAAAAGAAGAAAAATGAAAGCTACATCATAATAAAGAACTATTCGCCCACAGCAGAATAGGGCTGCTGCTAGGAGGAATTTTAGTGCTTGGCCTTGCTGGGGATGCAGAAACTAACTCCTAAATAGAACCTCAATGGTGTTATCACTTAATAGAATTATAGAACCTCTCTATATACTACCCAAGAGTCTTCAAGAACAACTAATAGAGTCCTACCATTACATTATTCATATTAGCAATGTCAACTAAAAAGAACGCTAATAATAAGAAACTAGTATTTCTTATTACTAATAAGAAACTAGTATTGCTGATTACTAATAGGAAACTAATAACACTAATGAATTATATCCATAATCCTAGTATTGATGTCCTACACATGCCCATAACTGTAACCGTCGCATCTTGAGGATGCTTCTAGGCAGGGGAGTATCCAAGGTGGGGGCAGGGGGGCAGCTGCCCCCACTCAACCCCCACTCAACCCATATACATACATACATATATATATATATACACACACATATATTTTTGTGTTAAATATACAGTATATATAAGAAATACGAGACTTGTAACTACTAACGTCAATGGTAGAGTGGAAAGAATGGTCCGGGTATTGAATTACGCTTCACGGAGGTCAAGTGTTCGAATCTTGGCTTGAGTTTTGTAATTGTCTTTTTACTTTTGCCTTTTGAAGGCTTATACAAATTCAAACTTACTTTACACAATTAATTTTCGTCTTGCTGGAAAGATTAAACTACATCAATAAAATTATAATTTTAGTTTCACATATGATTCATAAAGTTTAACAATTACATTTTGTACATAATATAAACTGTTTTTTTTAATATACTTGTGATTTTTTTAATACATTTTGTACAAATTGTGATTATTTAACAATTATTTTAATATCCTTCTGTTAGTTGATTCATTTAATTATGAATATAATTTTGAACAAATTACACATTTATTTAAGAAGAAAAATTATTAAGTCTATTTTAAATAGCAAAAAATTAACTGGACAAAAACACTATGATATAATATTTAAATAAATTTGTAATTTGTTTACGAATGACGTTTCTAAAGACTTTGTTAGAAAACAAATTCACATGACGTGCATTTGATGCGTGTTGAGATCGGATTTTGATGGGTTTTCTAGCTTTAAGGTGTCATAAGTCTCAATTTTAGCTCAAGTCATATTTTACCGAGTGTTGGTTCAAGTTTGGTATTTCTGAAGTTAAAATTAGGGAATTTGAGCCCAGCACCGGTGCTTAAGAAGCAACCGAGACAAGTTGAGACGCATTTGAAGATGGATCGAGAGCTTTGGAGGTCAATGAGGTGTTAAAGACGAAGTTTTGAAGACAAAAGAGCTCTAGGATCGAGTACAAGATCAAAAGAAGACGAATAGAACTTGAAAACGACGGTCAAGATGACGCTCTGTCAATCGTTCAAGCATATCTTTTTGTAGAAATATCCAAAGTACACGATTCAAGTTCCATAAGAAAGATAACTTCAAGGGATACAAATCATATGAAGACACCATGACGAGAATCTGAGAGGAGCAAGGTGAAAACAGACAAGGAAGTCAGATAATCGCTGTTGAGATTTCAGGATGCGACCTTTCACCATTTTAATCATATCTTTTTATTGATTAATCTAAATCTAGTTTTGCAAGTTTTGATGGATAGAACACTTCATTAGCTACAATTTTGGTGAAGGAAGCATAGTCAAATTCGGACGGGAAGAGCGCACTCTGTGAGCCTGAAGTCGGGCACGCCGTGCCTGCCGAAGGAAACACCTCTGGAGCTACTGGCAGTCGGACACGTTATGCCTACCAAGGGAGGCACGCCGTGCCCAACATTATTTTTCGCCCCCAGGTGTCCTGTTTCGGCACGGATTGATTCGTTTTCATTATATAAAGCCCCCAAACCCCCGTTGTGAAGGGGGCTTAGAGAGAGGCCTAGGGACGCCTTTACACTTGTTTTTCCGCATTGTTCTTCATTACCCTGGGATTATTTGTAAGTTCCAACTTTTTAGTTATTGACAATTAATTCTTTTCATCTCAATTCTATTGTTGATTCAATTATGAGTTGTGATTAGTTTTAATTAGGGATTTGGGGTTGATGAAGGGGTTGATCACGTTGTATGGCTTAGTTCTTGATGGTTTAATTACATGAATCTTGATTTAATTTGTGTTTGAATGATTTAATTGATATCTTTTGTAACCTGGAATGGCCACTTGGATTATGATTACATGTAGAATAAATTAAGAGAGATCTAATTTATTCTAGGACACATTCACACACACTTATTCGTTCGCTAAGAGATTAGTAACGATTAAGGGGCCGTACGCTCCCTCGTTTTGGCAATAATTTGGATATCTGTCGCATGAGAGATCAGCTTGGTTCCCTAAATTATTGTACTCTACGCCACGAGAGCGGTTAGAACTTAGTATTGATCAGCGTTGCTCAATTAATTGATTTTCATGTGATTGAGCCTGATCTGCCAGAAATCTGACTACCCCGGAATCAATCCTTGTTCCCTTCCGTCATTAATTAGAAAGAACCCAGCTTTTTAAACGTTTATTTTCAATTTATTTTTCCAATCAATCCAAATCTCGCACATCGCATTTAATTATATTTAGTTTTAATCGCTGAATTTAATTAATACTTAATTCCTTTTTGTCCGTCCTTGTGGAGACGATACTCGTACTTGCATCCTATTCTACTACGTATTTTAAGTGCGAGAAAACTCACATCATGGAGCAATGGTTGTTTTAGGCACCCGCCTACTAAATGGCTTGGGAAGCTGGTTTGAAGACTGATTTGGGCCCATTTGTTCACCCTACTATTGTCCAGGTGGGCCTGGGCTTGTGGGGTGGTTTGAGCATCCCACATCATGGTTATAACTGGCTTGAGTTTTATAAACATGTGCAAGGTAAATAGCATCTTCTTGAAGATCCTATTAGGTTGGATTACGTTGAGATGGGCAAGAAAAAAACATAGGAAGGATACTCACATCATCTGGCGTGTCATCCTCTGCTGCTTTCCTGAACACACCATTTAAAGCAGCAAGTTGTTTAGAAAAATATTCGTTCTTTTCATCTACAAAACCTTCCATGCATGACATGTCATGTAAATGTTTCTCCTTAAGAGCTGTCTCACAGGATTCTCTGAGGATGAATGGAAGTAGAAACAATTAACTTACAGTTGCAGAAAACCTTCACGGGATAGATTAGTAACAGAAGAGGGTAAGATTACTTCAGTTTATATAGTTCAGAAGAACGACTAGTTGACTCGTGTTCCCATTGCAAATATTTGGCTTTCGCAAGCTCCTGCCATATCTCCTCTACCATGTAACTCTTAGGATTTGCACCTCTTCCAAGATCCAATGCCTACAACCAATTGAGTGACAAAGTTAGAGACTTATAGGCACATGAGATATATTCAATCATTCTCCTCTTTACAATCATCCATGATCCACATTCATAATTCTTGTCTACAATACTTATCAGCTAAAAGGACACAATAGCATAGTTAACAATGTCAGTTTGTGAAACTGAACAACTGAACCTCAAACAGCTTTCTCAAGTTATTCTAATCTAAGAAGGCTCATTTAGTCATTTTGTAAGCCAAAGAGTAAAGAGGGAACAATGATGTTATTGGTTATTAGTGGGTAATTTGGTCAACTGCCTCTATTTCTTCCGAAATGGTAACCAAACAACACTCTTGATTGATTCTCTTATGGAAATTAAGGATTTAATCAATTGAGCCAGGGAGAACAGGCCATACTTTTTCCAATTCTATGACTCCTTCAGAATAGGCTTGCTCCCTTAGCAAAGCAAGCCCAAGCATGTAGTGTGCCTGTAATTCCAAAAGCATCCTCATTAAGATTAGATGAAATACAAAGTATTACTTTTGGCAAAACAAGTAACACAGCAATACAGAAATTCAACTCAATGTTATTTGTAATCAAAGAAATCAAGGATTTATTACATAAACTAAGTAAATATTCAGGTCTGTCATTTCATTTTCTGAGAACTCTCTTGCTATGGGAGATTAGGCATTAAATCACTGAAACTGGAAGGGGATACAGTGCTCAGTCCTTTGTATAGTAAGATAGACAAATATATACCTAAAGAGATTTCAAGACTTCTTTTTTTTAAATGAGATTTCAAGAATTCTAGGTATTAAAAGTAACAAACAAAAGTGAACTATTTACAGGCAAACGCACCTTACAAGAATGACAATCGAGCTGAATTGCTCTCCTACAATCCTCTTCCAATCTTTTCCAATCACTATACGGAAGCAAGAATAGAGGACAATAGTAGTACATAATAATTACAAGTCCAAACAAATAATACTCCACTTCATAAAAACTTTAGGGAGAGTAAAGTACAAATACCATACTTACTTCCGCTTGAGATGGCACAAAGCACGATTACTCCAATATACAGCAACATTGGGGCACAAGGTAATTGCCTACCATTTTCGGGGATAGCGGCGTTACTATCAATATCGGGTCCGGATAGGCATCAAAAGAAAGTAGTAGACATCGCAAATGACAATACCTCTGTATAGGCATCGATGGCGGCTCCATATCGACTTTTCTGAAAGTAAGTGTTGCCGTTTTGCCTCAGCTGTTCGGCTTGTTTAACCGCCGTGGCAGCCCCGTGCGGTGACATTTCCAGAATCTAGTCCAAGATAATGCTCGGATAACGAACGCTCTCTATCTATTTGTCAGGCTTTGTCTCCCGATGTATACAGATCGAAAAGTTGGGAGTAGAATCTCTGCTTAGAAAGTATTTGAAAAACTTGGTCTGCAGGCGGGGAAGGGGATGCGTTTCTTCAGACTTTCCAGATTTGATTCTCTTCAACAGCAACGAGAAGTTATACGGGGTGGGTATAAAACCCGAACCGAATAGGTACCGAACCGTCCCCGTGGTACCGAACCGAATATCGGGTATTTAAACGGTTCTATAGATTTTTATCTCGTACCAAAATCGTACCGTTTGAAACGGGTACGGGACCGGTCCTAGATTTTGAGAACCGAAAAATATCGGACCGAACCGTTCGAAAATAATGCATTTGAATTTTTTATATTTTTTCTACACCAATAGATCTCTTTTATAGACCAACAATTTTATACCCCAAATATGTATTCATGTGTTCCTAAGATATCTAAATGTGTCTGTTTATATATATATTGTTATTTTTTCTTTTTAGATAATTTATGTTATATTTGGTATGTATTGAAAGAATATTAAAATTTTAGAAATCATTAATGACTATTAATTTCTAGTAATGTAATGTCCATGACTTTTTGTTGTATCATGTTTGTGCGATTTTACAACTTAATTAATATGGTTTAAATCTTAGCTCTCAAGGTTCAACTATAAATTAAATTAGAACTATGGAGTAATATTTAACCTAGAACGAAGAAGAACATTGACGATTTCTATCATATTCAACAATTTGATGATATTTGTTTTTATATTTTCACATGAACTTAGAAAACTAAAGATGATATGTATCTCGTGCGTCATCGTTTTGCTATACTTTTTCTTAGTTGTGTTGCACTATTTGTGTATTTGTGAATATTGGTACTACGTATGCAATTTCTTGTATTTATGTCAACATTTCACGCGAGTTGGTTGGTGTGATGAAATCTACTAAATGCAAGTTGGGGGGTAGCTTATCCGAGGGGTTATTGCGGAGAATAACTAGAGAGAAGTCAGAGCAAATAAGTATAGAGAGAGAAAGTGTATTAGAAAGTATGCAGCGTGAGTATTGTGTCTTACGACTTGTGACTTGGTTACAAATGGGGAGATGGGGTGCTATTTATAGTATCAATAAATGCCGGACAGGGACACGTGTCAAGCGTCCATTGGTCGAGAGGTCACTTCAACTGGTTGGTGCTGGTAACCGCATGTGGCCGCATTTAATGCGGCTGTCGGATGGGACGTTGTACAGGGTACGATGATCCATACGCATGTGGAGCGGATATTATGTCGGAAAAGGCGACCTCGGCAGTATATGACTAGCCGAGGGCTCTGAGTACCGGGGACCCCCTTAGTGCCGAGGGCTCCAGTTGCCGAGGGCTACTGACTTTCGCCGTTTTTTCCCAGTAACTTTGTTTTCCTGTCTTGGCCCTCCTGTGAGAATTAGAGCCTTCAGCCAGGGGGGCGAAGGCACCCCTGGTGCATATTGTGGGCTGCTTGGTACTCTGGGCGCTGTGATTTGGGCCTGTTGTGCTTTCTGGGCCTGTTGGGCCTTTATTGGAGTAGTAGGAGTCTGTGGGCCGGGGGTTCCCGGGCCATATACTCCATGAGGAGTCCCTCACTCCTTTTGCCGAAAGGTACTTGAGGGAAAAGGATTAATTGTGTTTGTCCTCTGCCGTTGTTCCGTTTGTAGTTTGTAGAGTTGTGGGTAGTTTGCTGTTTGTCCATTCTGCCGAGGGCAGCCCCTCAGTTACCCACATGTCGGGACTTGAGGGGTCATGTTTGTGATTTTTCCCGAGGGGGTCCTCCAGTCCCCCACTCCTTGAGGCACTTGCAAAGTGGTGAAAAGGAGTAGAGTAGTTGCGTTGCTGTTTTGGGCCGAAGGCTGACGCTTTTCGTTTCATTTTGGGGGGATGCCTCGTTAAAAACCTCATTAGGAAAAACCCTGTGGGAAAAAATCCTAATGAGGGAAAAAGAGTGCACCGCATTCCCCCAATGATGAATCGAAAATGTGAAGCCCTGGTTCGAAATGGAGAATAATGCTGATGCCGAAGGCTTTCCTTGTTCTGAGAGCTCATGTGTTGATTAGTCGGAGGCTTGCTGTTGATATCCTGGGAGGTGCCGAAGGGGAGTCCCTCAATCTGGGGATCGAAGGCGTCATGAATGTGAGTAGCAGTTGCAGTGTTACCGGGGTGTCCCCTGTTTGCTGTTCAGTCGGTGAGGAGGGTACTCGAGGACTCCCGTTACCTGTGTGCCGTAGACTACCTGTTAATGAGGCGTATTCCCCGGGGGCTACCCGGCCCTCAAAGTGCTGAGGGGGGATCCCCGAGGGGTGGCCTGATATGAAGTCGGGGGCTTCTGAAGGAGTGAGCCCGAAGGCATTTGTTATGTAGTGTGTGGGGCACAAACTGGGAGGGTCTCTGGGTGAGTATACCCGGAGGCTCTTCTTGATGAAGTGGAGTGAAGTAAAAAGCCCGGGGGCTAGTTTTTTGGTTGATGAAGGAGTGGTCTGTCAAGTGTGGCCGGGAGCTCCCAGAATATAGCCGTTGGAAATATAGCCGTTGGAATATCTAACGTCAGGATATAGCCGTTGGGGGGGTTGCCACGTGGTGTGTGCTCGTTGGCTGCCCGTGGGCGGGCGTCACTGATTAAGCGAAACCACGGTTTGTAATGATGGCAGTCCAACCGGAGGCCCGGTTTCCAGGCCCAAGCCCGGATCCCAGCGCCTATAAATACCCCATGCCGGCTTCACTTCCCTTGTGCGATTCATCCGTTAGCGAAGCTCTGCCAAAATTCCTAGAGAGAGAAACAGCTGCCTTCGATCAATCACTCTTCCGAGGTCAGTTTTCTGCCCATCTGCTGTAGCATTAGTAGGTCGTAGTCGTGTGGCCTTAGGTTAAGTGCTTAACCGCCTTAGGAAAACTCCTGTCCTAGAAACCCCTCATCCCTTCAGCTGTTGAGGATGTCTTCACAAAGCGACTCTGAGGACATCTCGAGGTCGCCCTCGATGGAGGAGGAGATCATCTCGGACGTGGAGTCCTCGAGCGCACGCACCTCGGTCAACCAGGACTCGGCGGTAGCTGAGGAGGTGCAAGCGAGCCTTCGGCTAGAACTGGAAGCGGAGGAGTTCGAGCAAGTGTGCGAGGATGAGGAGCTGGCGCTTGCCTTTCAAGTGGCCGAGGATGAGGCACACAAGGAAAGCATGGTGGTTACTGTCGCCGTCCCTCTCCCTCGGAATGCAGATCCCGGAAGCTCTCAGCCACTGAACCCGACGCCTATCAGCGTTGCCCCCGGGAAGAAGAGAAAGGTCAAGGCCGTCGGGAAGAAGAAACAGGCTGCCGTTGACGCCGGGCAACCAGTAGGAATTCCCGAAGGCTATTCCTACATGAACACTGCTGCTTTGGACGTGAAGACCCGAGCCACACGGGGAGAATACATGGCGACGCAACTCCTGGTAGGGCCGTCGGCATTGGTAGTGGAGCCGGGGCCAGATAACGTTTTGCTATACGCTCCCGCCGGTTGTTTCACCGTGCATCTGCTCTCGGTGGAGTTGGGCCTCCGGTTCCCCCTCCATCCCTTCGTGGTGGAGTACCTCCGGTACGTCAAGCTAGCCCCCTGCCAACTAACCCCGAACAGCCACTCCTACTTGGCTGGCTTCCTCTCCCTCTGCCGGAGCCGGGATGTGGAGCCCTCGCTAGACCAATTTTTCCTCTCCTTCAATCTGTGTCGGGGGGGGGGGGGGGGTGGGGGGTGGGGGGGCACTCGAACGCTGGTGGTTTTGCCAACCTACAGCAGCTCCCAGAGTTCAGACTCTTCGATGATGTCCCTTCGTCCCATAAGGGATGGAAAGATAGGTTCTGCTATATTCGGATGGCCGAGAATCCCTTCTCGGCCCGGCCCCCCTTCGCGACAGCTTCCGCAGGCATGTCAAGGTAGGAAGCGCTGCTTTGGAGAAAAAGGGGAAGAAGCTATCCAAGAAGCCCGAGGGGTCCGAAAAGCATACCAAGATCCGGGATGCTACTCTTCCGGACTATCTTTACGACTTGGGCTTTCGGCGTTATCGGCTAATGGGGGAAAGCGATGAGAGATATCCCCCCGTCGATAGGGTTTATCAAAGCGCCGGAGGTAGTTGACTTGCCGAGGGCTCCCGTTTCATACTTAGAATATATTCTTCCCTTCTTTTTTTGTTTTTCTTTTTGATATTATCCTCCTAACCCTCCTGCATTTCCTTTGTTTTTCAGGACCAGACATGGACGCCCGGAACCTGTCTAAGTTGAAGAAGCAGCTGGCGAAGGAGAACAAGAAGAAAGACCCCTCAGTGCAACTGAGAGGGTTGGACGAGATCTACCCGAGGGCGGGTGCAAATGACAGGGCCCAGGAAAACGTGCCCAAGGAAAAAATTGCCGCCGGCGACGACGCTGGTTCCAACGCCGAGGGCTCCCCTGCTGAGGCCCTGAAGAGGAAAAGGGTCGGGAAGGCCGTGGTGCCCCGGGAGGGAAAAAAGCAGAAGAAGGGGGGCCCGAACCGAAAGGGGCCCCGATTGTCATTGTGGAGGAACATTCCTCCTCCGAGCCTCCGGCCCAAGCCCCCGGGCTGGTATGGCCCCAAGACAATGTGCAGTTCTCCATCACTAAGGGGACTGCCATTATGCACGCCACGCTGAACCCGAGGGAGTTCCTGAGGGGGGCCACCCCCCGAGGGAGTTCCTGAGGGGGGCCACCCCCCCGACGGATAAATTCGTGCTCTCTCGGCAGACTGACGACGCCCTCTGCTCCAAGGTCCTCCAGGCCTCGGTTACTGTAAGCTCCCCTTTCCTTCTTCCTTTTTTCTTCTGTTCCCTTCCTCCCCTTTTTGCACTGTGGTTCTAAACTTCGATGATTTGTGATCTCTTTTGTAGGCAAGCCTCGGCCTCGGTGAACTCATTCAGCGGATGGAGCGATATGCCCTTCAAAAGCAGAAGGATGACGAGTCCTCTACTGCGGCCCAAAGGCGGCTCCTGAAGGCAGAGGAGGCTTCCGGGGTAGAGAGGGCGGCCTTCGAGAAACTCCTCGAGAATGCCAAGGTGCTGGCAAAAGCCGAGGGGAGGGCCGAAGCGGAGATGGCAGCTGCTAAGGCCGCCAAGAAGGCTGCTGAAGATGCTGAGACTGCCAAGAAGGAGG